GGCACGCTCTATTGCGACAATACACGACAATACGAAGCGGCAAGGACGAATGCGCGTGAGATTCACTTTTTAACAATAACAGCAGCATGCACCGCTTATGGACTGCAGATATACCTCCCCCAGGTGGCAGTCTCCGTTTGGTGTCCGCGACGGCCGCCGCCATTCATGGATACTTTGGGCTAACCGCCGACGTGATCCAGCCATTGTGTGAGCTGCGCGAGTCACATCCTGTGATTACTGCGATATGCACGAGAGCCATCTCAAACATTCGAGAATCGTTTCGCTAGCAGGATCTACCACTATTTCATGACCGCGTGCAGGGCATCCCAACGGGGTCCTGGAGAGTTGCTTTTTCTGCTTTCCCCGCATCTGCCCAATGCCAGTTCTCAGTCGCTGCCTTTTCCATCACCACATGCGCCTCTTGCTGCAGGGTGGCTGCCTGTCATTCACCTCGTCGCTGAAGCTCATGGCGGAGGATCCTGTAGGGCCATGGCTGAAACTGGCTAGTTGCAGGGGCCTAGTTCCACATCTGCAACGGCTATACTTAGCAGACCCATTATGAGACCAGCCTCACCATGGCGGGTGCATCCTCTCCGAACCCATTGGTTCGCGCGCCTTCTCTCCAACTCAACCACCACCAACCGTCCTATTCTTACCTTTCCAATGGTCTGGCACAAGACTTTTGACGGTCTTGTTATTGCGCTGTACGCGCCACGCATCTGCGCCGGCATTTTCTTGGGGTCCGATTGGAAGGGAGATGCCTCACTGGCCCGGCACCCGTCGACATCATAGCTGTTTGACTTCGAAGCATCTGAGACTTCCAGAAGCTGTTTCAAATGGCCGCCGAGCCTTGCTAACAGGATTGAGGCCTCAACTTACCCGCTTCAGGGTCTAAAATGACAGCTTCTGTCATCACCACGGTCCAGATGTTTCCACTGTCCTCCGTAGTCACCGTGGTCACCGTGCTACAAAGCTGGTGGTGGCATGTCGTAGCTCCCAACACCATGCTTCTGGAACGGGCGACGGACAAAGATGCCAGGTCCCGTCAGGCCGTGATGAAGGCCTCGTCGTGCAAGGCGCAGCTTGTATCCCCGTCATTGACAAACGTGCTGGTGATCATTCGAACGGTTGTGCTGACATGTGCAACAGGCACAAGGCCCAGACAAGGCGATCTACACAGCACTACAGCATGCTGATCACCAGCGACGAAGCAGTCTTCAAAAGGTAGAATTGGGTATGTATTGCGCATCGCTAACGCTATCAGAAATCGTATCCATGCGTCGTTCGTATCGTAAATCATCACGCCTGTACTCCATATGTTCCCAGACTCCGAAAAGAGCAGCCCTTCATTCCGTATCGTCCCGTCGCTAGGCCTTCGAGCTCCTCATCCAAGCCGGTAGTCATGCCGAAGATAGTGAGCCCATGGGAGGATATTGTGTGCCTTGTTGTTCGACTCGGGGTGCGCATGTGCACCATTGCTCTTTGGGGGTGTTGTCCATGACGCCGGCGACGTGTTTACCACAGCCCCACCATGTGGTCTTGTCTGAGGCGATGTTAGCCGTGTTCGTACAACAGAACTGTGGTAAGTGACCTACTGCAGGAGTCGCAGGAAGCCTTCTTGCACATTGTGAACGTTTGTATGGGAGTGGATATCGAGTATATGTGGCGATGCCGACGATGTGCCGATGGAAGTATGCCGAACGTAAGAGGAAGTATGCCGAAACCTTTTCGTAAAGTTCGGTAGCGTATAGCGTGGTATAACAGTAGTCTCGAAATGCGTATCTTGGTTGACAAAGATCTGGAATGCACTCCGTCCGCTCAGCAACCCACCGAGGCCCTTATATACACCTACCTTCCTCCGCAATCCCACATACCCTCCTCGCCGAACCCCCCTACACACGGCGAACACACTACCTCACTGCGGTGAGGCATGATAAATCCCCTCGGGCTCTAGTTCACCAATCCCACCCCAGAAGACTGGGCCTCTGCATCTCATTGCGGGGATCTGATTGGCTGTCTGATGATTTGTCCGAACTATAGTCGGCGACCACATTCGGCGAAGTACCACTTTGACGCCAGACGCTTTTTTCGCTGCACACGCGGGTCTAGTCTGCGGGAGCGGCGTGTGTTAGAACCTATAGTACGGGTCCGTTGCCGAGCCATGTACATGGTGAGGATCGGAGAGGAGTTTTTGGGGTCGGTGTGCCGGGCTTGGGTGTCCCCGTGGAGTGGGCATGTGGAGGGTCAGTGTGGGCTTTTGGTGGTAATGGAAGCGTAGTGCATTGGATAGGCGAGTTGTTGTCGTTATGGCGGTCGGTTGGCGCATGTGGATACATGCGTATTTGAGATTCACGATGGTAGCTAGGAACAAGTGCATACGGTATGATGAGGTGGCTGAAGCCTTCTTCTCGTGTGGACCTGAGGATACGCAGGTTTGGAAATCGTACGATTGTTCAGGCACGGTACAGCCGGAAGCTATAGAGCAGGGGATTCTCTTCAGCTCATGCATAAGATGGGGTATTTGTTACGAAGAATGAGATATTGTGCAGACTCGTAATTACTAAACACGTTGCGATCTACAACAATGCACACTACCGGGACTTTTGCTTTGCATGATCCGAAACGCCTCCGCTAGACAAATGCTTCTAGGTCTACAAATCGATCTTCGCGCTGCAGCTGTAGCCGGCGGCATCTACTTCGCCGACCAGCTTCGTTACGAGATGCCGAGTCCGCTTTTGACAACACGCAGCTAGACTCATGCGACTTAGTCAAAAGTAATCTTAGTAGCTGCCTTGGAGTCTCCGGTGTCTTTGTAGAAGGCGCCGTATGCACCGTGTTCCTTCTTCTTGACAGTTGTACCGAACTTCATCAACTCTTCGGGTACGGGCTGGTTTGCTGCCTTGAGGACGTTGATCAACCTAATAATAGAGTTAGCACACTGAAACCATGCAGCCAAGCGCAAGGGGTACTCACGATCCGGAGAGTGCTTTGTCGTGTTCCGTGAAGAGCGTGATCGCCAAACCCTCCTTTCCGGCACGACCCGTTCTACCAATCCTGTGAACGTAGTCCTCCGCCGTCAAAGGGAACGTGACATTGATGACGAGTTTCACCGCAGGAATGTCAAGACCTCGTGCAGCAACATCCGTCGCCACGAGGAGGGGCACATGGCCTTCCTTGAACGCTGCCAGTGAGGCGCTGCGCCTTTCTTGGCTCAGGTCGCCGTGGATGCCACCCACGCGGAAGCCCTGTCTGCGAATGAAATCCTCGATGCGCATTGCTTCCTTCTTGTACAGACAGAAGACGAGGATACGGTCGTCCTTGTTCTTGCCAGATTGATACTGTCTAAGTAGCTGCAGCAGACGCTGCTCTTTGCCGCGGGGATCGACAACCTCGACAAGCTGCTTAATGCGCACATTGGCGCGGAGCTCGCCAGACTGGTTGTCGCCGATTGTGATTCTAACCGGCGAGTTCATGAAGGTGGATGCAAGATCCCGGACGGAGGGCGGCCACGTAGCAGTAAACATGAGGGTCTGGCGCTTTTTGGGCGTCTGCGAGATGATTTGCCGAATTGCTTCTTCGAAACCCTTATCAAGCATGCGGTCGGCTTCGTCAAGTACTACGTACTCGGCTTTGCTGAGATCTGCTGAGCCATCGCCAATTAGGTCGTTCAAACGACCGGGCGTAGCGACCACGATATGCGCCTTCTTGCAAGCGGCAACCTGAGGATCTTTTGGCACACCGCCGTACACGCAGACTACAGATAGTCCAGCCGGTGTCGCCAACGCTACCAACTGGTCGTAGATCTGAACAGCCAGCTCACGCGTAGGTGAGACAATGACAGCCTTGACACCCTTCCGCTCGTTCTTGGGCAGCGCTGCGATGTAGCGCACACATGGTACACCAAACGCGAGCGTCTTGCCGGAACCTGTCTCAGCAACACCAACCATGTCTCTTCCTGAGAGCAAGTATGGCCACACGGCTGCTTGTATAGGTGTAGGGGCGCTGAACTTGGCGAAGAAGGCGCGTTGCGCATCGTCGACCGGGAGGTACTTGAAGTTCAGGATGGGACGGAGCTTGCGAGCGGCGGGTTTGGGGTCTTGGATGGCCATCGTGTTCTTGGCGAGGAAGGCATCGACCTCGGACTGAGGAAGCTGGGTCAGCTCTTTGCTCTCTACATAGTCGCCCGATTCGACGGTGGCTGTGCTCGTTGTGGTTTCGACGGGTGCAGGCTTGGAGGAGGGTACGGGCTCGGTGGCTTCGCCCTTGGCCAATGCCTTCGCGCGCTTCTTCTCTGCCTTTCGCGCAGCCTTTTCTGCCGCCTTGATGGCTTCCTCGTTCTCTTCCGCAGGCTCGTCTGAATCGGCACCCGCGGCAGCCTTCAGCGCTTTTTTCGCTTCCTTAGCCGCCTTCTTTGCTTTCTTTGCCGCCTTGCGCTCGGCCTTGGACAGACTCGATTCGTCGTCCGAGTTCTCTACAGCCTGCGCATCGCCATTCGTCTCCATCGCATCCACTTCAGCCGTCTTGCTGAGCTTCTTGCTCTTGTCCTTTTTGCTCTTCTTTCTTGAAAGTTCGGGTGTCGTGGTCGCGCCGTCTTCAGCGACGACGTCAGAGATCGGTCTTTTCCCCATCTTGTTGGTTGGCAATGCTTCGCGTGGAGAAGTTGAGAAGGATGGCGGAAAAATCACTTTTTCGTCGGCGGTCGGCACCAGCACTATCGATAAGTCCGGAACTAGTCCCAAAGCGTTCAACGCGATCCTGCGGCAGCAAATCTCGCGTGTTCGATGCTTCTCACGTCCCTGCGCGTCCACGAAGTGCTATGTGAAGGTTTTAGTCATTGTACGCAAAAGTCGTCAATTCGAGACCTTTTGCGCTTCCTACGTCAAGGCTTTTCGGGTTTTCGCGCTAGTCGAAACCTATTCACGATCTCCCTCACCACAGTGAGCCATGACCAGAACCACTAAACAACAGGGACCACTTATTCTGAGACTTGATGCGCGATCATGGCGGACGTGACAGTGCTGAGATGCTGGCCAGCCTGCGTCGATGCAATCGATTGGTCTTCCGACGGCATCATTGCATTAGCGTCGGATGAGCGCGTAGAGCTGCTCGTGAGTACCTTTCCGTGCAGATACTTACACGAGACCTTTTTGTTAATGATTGCGTAGTTTCCGAACACCGTCGACTTCGAGCGGGATCAAGTCTTGCCGCAATGGCAGCATGTGCCTCTCAAGGTACCCTTGTTCTCGACCGATGAGCTCCCACTCAAAGAACCTGCGCCAACATCTAACTACTCCGTCGGCGAAGAGATCTCTAACAGCGCTCCCATCAGCATCGCGTGGTCACCGCCCGGTATTGCTAAACATCGAAAATGCGCGCTTGCTGCTCTTACCGCAAACTTGACGCTTTCCCTCTGGTCAGCAGCAGAAGGCAAGCCAGAAGAAGAGACCAGTTGGACTCGACGATTGATCATCAACGATGCGCTCGTTGACCACTTCGGAGACTGGGACCACGAACCTAGCCACGTGGTGCACGATTCCAAGGAACGACTGCGGTCGAGAGGCCGCATTCGAGCGTTCGCCTGGGCACCCGCTCTGCCTTGCCCAGGGCCGGCTGGTGTTGTCGGTACTCACTTGGTATACGGCCCGCACATGCTAGTTGTCTCTGATGACGATAATCACCTCGTGTTTCTCAAGGTTGAAACGCCCACGTCCTCCCTAGGAGCTGAGCCAGACTGGAGGGCAGACGTGTTAACACATGAGTCTTTTGCACTTTCTTCGGACACGATCTTCCCACAACCCAATATCTTCGAAGATATGATCAAACAGCAAAGATATATCTCGCATATTGCCTGGAGTCCTTGGATCATACGCGACGGGTGTTATTATTCCGTACTGGTATACGCTGCGAATGAGGATATACGGGCGCGGACTATCACGTATAACACTGGGCGTATGAGCTTGCAGCAAGAAGTTGTCTATGCAGGCCACGAAATGCGATATGACGGCCCGATGAAATGGTTTCACCGAGTCGAAGATGAATACAGACTAAAGCTCGCCCTCTTCACGAACACGGGACTAGTATATCTAACGATATCCGCTCTTGACGCTACTATCATCGAAAGGAGCACGCATGATCTAGACGGTCGATGGGATCCAGTTTCAGGCGTTGTCTGGGACACGACTCAGGCCACAACACCTCGTCTCCATATAAGCTCTCTACTATCGACACTCCACAGCCCAACTGCTATCCTCGAGCAGACTCCTGATGGGCTCAAAAGCCTTGATGCCCCAGAATGGCGGGAGAGAATCGGAAATAATCTGGCACTGTTTAGTGCAAAGCACGAACTCAAAGGCAATAGCAGGGCCAAGGTATGGGGCCTCACGAGATCTCCGCTAGGCGACTTCATCGCGGCATGCAACAGCGTACATCCTTCCGATATGATCGAGTACGGTATTCCGGCTGACCGTAGTGGTGCCGTGGCTATCAGCTCTTTGCGACCTGGCAGCCGTTCACGGGACATCTTTCCAAAAGAGAACGTAACTGCAGAAGGACTCATGTACAGTCTTAAGAAGTTGGCAGAAGAAGTTGTCGAGGACCCTGATGACATACCTGCATTCGCGGATGAAATGGTTGGAAAGCTAGTCGAGACTTACACAGGTCCTCCTGTCGGTGAGATGAGCGCGACCACATCAGCAGCGTACTCCGATGTCAACGATCTCGATTCGTTGATCAAGAATTTCAAGTCGTATGCTTTCCTTGAATCACCTACACTGAAGGATCGCTACACCATCCTCGTGTCTGAAGCCTACAAGACGCAGATTAGTAAGGAGCTACCGAAGACTCTAACTGCGTATCGCCTTGCCGTAGCCTTGCAACAACTTCCTTCATCACTATCGCATACGCCGTTCAGCGCAGAAATTCGCACGCATCACAAACAACTCGTCACACTCATCAACATGGTCATGGGCTATGACGATGCATCCGAGTCCTTGCCCGCAGACAGAACTTCGGAGCAGGAAAACGCATCAACAGTCAGCACCGACACGCATGGCAATAGCATTTCGACGAATCAAGGCCCAGCAGTCCCAGTAGCGGATACTTGCGATTTCTGCTCCGCATTTATACCGTTCGCAGACCCCCGATCAGCAACTTGCACCAACGGACATGTGTTCCCTAGATGTGGTCTCACTTTTCTGGCTATCCAGGCGCCCGGCATCACGAAGTACTGTGGTATATGCAGCACACCATTTCTGAGCGACGAGTTCATCATGGCCCAAGAAGACGTGGAACGCAATAATAGCTCCGACACTGAGGATAACACGGTCATGACTGGCGTGACTAGAAACGGCATGGTATCAGAGGAAAGGGAGGAGAGCAGCGATCCGTTGAACAAGATGGATGAAGAGGGTTCTAGCGACCAAGAAGGAGGTGATCAAGAAAGCAACGATTCCGACGATGAAGGCGATGTGTACGAACGAAAGGAAATCCCTGTCACGCTGGCACGGGTACTGTTTCTTGCTTGCGATGCCTGCATATACTGCGGTGGCAAGTTTATTGGTTGACCAACACAGGACAAAGTTCAAAATCCGGCTCAAAGGTGTCCTGTACCTACGTTCGTAGTCAAGAAGAATCGCCCGCCAGGCTCTCTTTCTTTTACACAAATGCCCTTTATTCGCTTCTATTATTAGGCCACATATGACATTACAGTCCAACTAAGCATCTTATAGTTCTGTAACCTAGAAACGTTAAAGACGCTAATGTCTCTTATCGCGGGACGGAAACAGACATAAGGCCCGAATCCAACCTATACCCACAGTCTAGATGCCTTAGCATCCATCCGCACAAACTACGCAACTCCACTTTTCTCCCGAGGCAAGCCCTAGCACTTTCTAGAAGCTAGGCTAGACTAACCGCACAAGTCTCTCATGCCCCCGCGCAACTAGCTAACTAACCGCACAATGTACGCAAGATAAGTAGAAGCTAATTATCTTATAAATTATACGCTTCTCTAAGATTCTGTACGTTTAACTCTTGCGCTAGCGCTGCGCTAACGCGCTAGCGCAGCGCTAAAAACTTCTTAAAGCTACTAAGCTAATTATAGCCTAGAAAATAAAGGTATTAAATACTATAAAACTTCTAAACTAATAAGTAGGCTTAAACGCAAATCTCTATAGAGCGTCTAAGAGAAAATAGCACTAATATTAGTAATATAGATTTTAGCGTTATAATAATATACTATTATTACTTTAACTCTATACTTTATCTACACTATAACGTTGCTTTATTATATTAAATACACTATTTAATAGCGCTTATTACGCTCTTTTAACTATATCTAAAATATCTATTATTACTACGCCTAGTTTATCTACTTACGCGTTGCTTTCTCTATTAATACCTATATTATTACTACTATTCTTTCTCTAGTCTCTAAGCTTATAATATCTTAGTTAAATATATACGCCTACGCTATATTTAAGGTATAAGTAGAACAAAGCCTATAATAAGCGCAGTAATAATAAGTTAATAGATACTATTAAAGAGACTATAATAGAAAATAATACTAGTAAATAGACTTATTATACCTAGCGCCTATATATATAGTAGGTATCTACGCAGCGCAAGTTAACTTAAGTAGTTAAAGTTCTTTAATAATATAGATAGTTATTCTAGAACTTTATTTACGCGTAGGTAATAAAGTAGCATATAATAGATAGTATAAGAGCTAGTAGTTATAAGAGATAATAATAGACGCTGCTTAAGGTAGTGCGCACTTTATAGTTAGATTATAGTATCTATAGTAAGAATATACTATTAGCTTATAGGTATAAGTTATTATAACTTATAGAAGAGAAGGCGTTTAGTATATTTAAAGCTAGTATAAGTGTTAATATAGTTAATTACTATACTACTATATAAGCTATTAAGAAACGCGCACCTACTTAGTACGCGTTTATTCTTTACTATTTAGAAAATAAAAGGTAAGAGAAGGCTTTAAAAAACTATAAGGCGCTATAGTAGTAACTCTACTTTATTACTAGTATAGTGTACTTCTTGCGCGCAAAAAAGAGGTTAAACACGCTATCTACCTATGTTAGTCTCTATTTATAGAGATCTAGCGTACACTAATACGTTATTAAAGTTCTTACTAGCTTTAGTATATGCTATACATACTATTATATTAATAGTAGAATAGGTAAGATTAGTTAACTTACGTAGGTAAAGCACTCTTTTTATATAACTTTTTCTAGTATATAAACTTCTATAATATTATTAAAACTTCTATAATCTTCTAGAACTTTCTATTTGTATATTATTTATTAACTCTAGTAGTAGAGTTAATTGTAAGCGCAGGTATATAATCTCTGTATAGTTATTATATATAATAATATTAACTTTATAGATTATAAATAATATAAGAACGCTAGTTATATAGTAAGCTATTAAGCTTTTACTAATACAGCCTTTATTATATATAATAAGTTACCTACTAATAGACTTATCTAAGATATATATAATCTATCTATACCTCTTTCTCTCTATAATATTATAACTAGTCTAGCGTTAACTAGAGGTAATAATATTAGGCGTTATATGTCTAGCTTACTTATTACTAATATAGTCTAACGCTTATATCTAGAGAGCGTAAAGGTAGTATTTAATTGCAATAGTAACTCTTTCTATCTAGCTTTCTCTATTATTAAATAGTTACTACCTTACGTTACTTAGTACTAGCAATTTACTAGTATTTTATAGAATAAAGGTACTATTAAGAGCACGTATACTATACACAAAGATATATTCTTATATTAGTTAGGCTTAAAGGCTACTAATAAGCCTAGTAAAGTTAATAACTTTACTTATTGCCTTATATTATATTATAGAGACTAGCTTACTACTAACTATATATAGTCTACTTTATAGAAGCAGCGTTATACAAAGCTACTATATAATAGATAGTAGTAGATTTAACTACTTTCTACCTAGTTCTACGTCTAGATAAACTTATTAGCTACTATTATCTATACCTATTAGGCAGCTAATTCTAGTTTTTATACTATATACTCTTTTATTACTAATATAACGCGTTAGAACTATTTACATAGTACTAGAGATAACGTAAAGTACTACTTAATAAAGCTAGTTATTATCTAGAAGTTTACTTTATAAGTTAAGGCACTCTTTTACGTAGCTATAAGAGACTGCAGACTACTACTAGTTAATACTAAGTAGAATCTCTAGCGTAAGGTAGTTAGAAACGCTATATTCTATCTATTAGCGCTGTAATTTATAGAGCTTATTAAAGACGTCTAATCTACTATCTTTACCTTATTAGCTTAGACGTCTTCTAGCCTAGATATTAACTTCTATACTATGTATTAGCTTCTGTAAGAGATTAAGCTATTCTTAACACTACGCTATATAGTTAAGTATAGTAATATTAGTATACTATAGCGCTTAGTAGATTCTCTTATTATTATATTCTTAGAGGTAAAGTAGTATAACTATAGTAGAGAGATACTATATTATTAATAGTGTCTATTCTCTATAAATACACCTATTCTCTAGTAGTTAATATTATTATTAAGTCTTATAAACTAGTATAGGTAGTAGTCTACTTTTAAGGCTATTAATCTACACTTTAAGCACCTTAACTATAGTTATAAGCTTAATCTCTATAACTAAAAGAACTCTACGTATAACTTTAATATTATATTCTAGTAGTAAGCTCTTTATAACGCGTATCTAGGTAAACTCTACACTAAACTTAAGCGTTAGTATAGAGAATCTATGTTAGGTAAGTATATAAGTAATAGAGCTATTTATAATATATTCTTTTTTAGTTAGAATCTATTCTTAGATAGGCATACTAGCTATTGCGCTTCTATTAACGCTAGCAGTAGAATATATAATTCTATAGATATCTAATAGAATAGTATAGATAGTCTTAAGGCTAACGTTAATATCTTTAATACTTAGCATATTTACACTCTAACGTCTCTACCTTATAGTACGTTAGTAGTAACGCCTAGTAATAGTTATAATAGGTTTATTAATATTAGCAAGTACACTAACCTTACTTATAGCGGCTACAATAGCTAAGTAGATACTACTACTAATAAATATCTATTAACTAGTATTAATTAGCTTAATCTTATACAGGCCTCTAGTTAGCGTAGCTATATATAATGTACTCTATAAGTTTATAGAAGTTTATAGAAGTATATAGTAGTATATATAAGTTTATAGTATTAATAAAGTTACTATCTACTTACTACGTAGTTAAGACTACGTTAAGGCAGAATTAATGTTAAGGCTAGTAGAGGCTACGTGTAGGTCTTGCTAGCGTAATTAGCTTAGAACTTTCTATAAGATTACTAGTATTATACTTACTAGAAAGAATTAGCTTAGAAGTTTCTATAAGATTACTAGTGTTACTAATTATTCTAGGTGCGCAAGAGAATAGAGAGTTATACTTAATTTATTTTAACTTATTTAGTCTACGCAAATATTATTAGCTACTAAATAACTATCTATTAGTAGAAGCCTATTATATTAGCTACTAAAGAAACCTTTATTACGCAGAAGCCTATTACGTTAGCTACTAAAGAAACTCTATTAAGTAGAAGCCTACTATATTAGCTACTAAATATACCTCTCTTTTAGTTAAACTAGAACTATTCTGCAACGTTACTAGAAGAGTAGATAACGTTACTAGAGGCATAGTATATAAGTCTCTATTCTCGCTATTACCTACTATTTCTCTTCTACCTCTTTCTTCTAGTAGTCTACTATCTTAGACTAGTGCGCTGTCTTCTTCTACTTTACGCTATTAGAGCAAGAATATTACCTATAGAGCTAGAGAGGCTAAAGAACTATATATTACTATTATAGCTAACTAACTATCTAAGTAACTAGAGCACTAAGACAAGGCTATAGCTAACTAACTACCTAAGTAACTAGAGTACTAAGACAAGGCTATATCTAACTAACTAGATACTTTATTGTTAAGTATATATAGCGCTACCTTCTTTAGCTCTAGCTTTATAGACGCCTTACTAACACGCTATTATAGCTAACTAACTACCTAAGTAACTAGAGCACTAAGATAAAACTATATCTAACTAACTAGATACCTTATTATTAAGTATATATAGCGCTACCTTCTTTAGCTCTAGCTTTATAGGCGCCTTGCTAACACACTAATTACTAAATTAGTATAGTAGTTACTACTAAAAGTGTAAATCTCTTGTCTATAACCTCTATAAAAACTTACTAGGTAATTAGCTTATAAGTCTTAAAAAGTTTATAGAATATTGCTAGTTAGCTCTAGCTTTATAGACGCCTTACTAACACACTAATTACTAAATTAACGTAGTAGTTACTACTAAAAGTGTAAATCTCTTATCTACAACCTTTATAAGAACTACTAGGTAATTAGCCTATAAGTCTTAAGAAGTTTATAGAATATTACTAGTTAGCCTATAAGTCTTAAGAAGTTTATAGAACGTTACTAGTTAGTCTATAAGTCTTAAGAAGTTTATAGAATATTACTAGTTAG